TAGTGGTCCATTGGTTAAAACTATGTGCTTTCAGTGCAGGGGGCATGAGTTCCCTGGTTGGTGCAGCCAAAAAGAAAGAAAGAAAGAAAGAAAGAAAGAAAGAAAGAAAGAAGATCCAAAATAAGCAATCCTTCCAGTCATCAGAATATACTTTGTGTAATATATTGTGTGTGTGTATGTGTGTGTAAGTTGTATTTTTTAAGAGGAAAAGTATAGAAGAATATACGTTTCTAAGAAGGACTTCTTTGGATGACTTTTCTGCTTTGTACTTTCCTGTGTTTTTCCAGTAACTACACTCATAACTTAAAAGTAACCACAGCTAATATTTTGGTATATTTCCTAATAATTTTTAAAAGTGTATTTTAAAGCACCTGTGCAATCATGCTGCATATTGGAATTTCCACACTCTTTAAATCTTCTAATGGTGTTCAGCGGACATTTGCCTGTATCACTGATGGCTTTATGATATTTTTTCATGTTGGGGATACTATGATTTCTTTTCTTTCCTCTGTTCTGGACTGTTTGTACTGTTAATGATTTTTTTCACTGTGCAATGCTGTGATGAAATAGCTGTGTCCCTTAATTATTGTTTCCCTGTCTGAATACCCCATGGAATCCAATCTTAGGGATATAGTCACTGGGTGAGAAAATATAAAAATTTTAAGGCTTCCATTGCATGTGAACAGACTGGTTTTAAGAATTTCTGCTCATTAGTTACAAATTAAATAAGGTCTTGTTCATTGGTTATAATAAAATGGATGCTACAGGTGACTGTTATTATCTTATTTTTAAAGCAGGTCTTTTACTCCTATTCGTTGACATATTTACAAATATTATGCATGTGTACTAAGTCACTTTGGTTGTGTCTGACTCTTTGCGACCCAGTGGACAGTAGCCCTTGGGGCTCCTCTGTCTATGGGATCTCCAGGCAAGAACACTGGAGTGGGATGCCAACAAATACTATATCTAAATATAAAAACCATGCTTCTTTCCCCCAAATTTTTCAAAATAATTTTCAAAGTAAATACAAGCAGTCATCAATGGATAAAGAAGTTTGTGTGTGTGTGTGTGTGTGTGTGTGTGTGTAAAATGGAATGTTACTCAGCCATAAAAAGGAACAAATTTGAGTCGGTTCTACTGAGGTGGAATAAGAAAAACAAATGTCATATATTAACACGTATATATGGAATCTAGAAAAATGGTACTGATGAGCCTATTTGCANGAGTCGGTTCTACTGAGGTGGAATAAGAAAAACAAATGTCATATATTAACACGTATATATGGAATCTAGAAAAATGGTACTGATGAGCCTATTTGCAGGGCAGGAATAGAGACTGGGACACAGAGAAGAGACTTGTGGACACTGTGGGGAAGGAGAGGGTGGGAGGAGCTGAGAAGGGAGCGTTGATATATATATACACGTTACCATATGGAAAACAGATAGCTTGTGGGAAGTTGTGTGTAATGCAGGGAGCTCAACCTGGTGCTCGGTGACAACTTAGGGAGGTGGGATGGGGTGGGAGGGAGGTTCCGGAGGGAGGGGACAGGTATGTGCCTGTGGCTGATTCATGTTCTTGTATGGCAGAAACCAACAGCAACTGTAAAGCAATTATCCTCCAATTAAAAATAATTTTTTAAAAAAACAGATGAGCAGTCAACTTAAACAAAGCTTAACAAATAAAATCTTCCTAATATAGCCACAGTTTTTGTTTTGTCAAATCTCCCTCCCTTGCTTTTCTGTGAATTTTACAAAGTTGGCTAAAAGTATATGTAGGTTTCACATCCTGTTTTTTAAAATGGAAAATTCTATTGCAAGCATTTCTTCTGTGTTGTTATGTAATCTTCATAATGATCATTTATGATGACTGCAGATTATTCCACCAGCCTCGTTTCCCTAGTGAACTCTTATGTCTTTTTCCAAATTTTCACTTCTATAGCGCTGTGGTGAGTGTGGACTCTTTCTTTAGATTCAGTCCTCAGAGTGGATTGACTTGACTCCGAATGTAAACTTCTGTTCACTCAGAATTTTCACTAGCTAATGCTGGTCTGTCTTCTCGGTTAGTTTTAATCATTGAAACTTAATTCCCACGGACACGTGAGACTCAGGGTGCTCTGGCTGGCAGAGCATGCAGTGGGAGCTGCGATGTCCTTAGTAACAAGGCGGTCGGGGCCCCGTGCTGGTGCCAGGTGAGCCTTGGGGCTCCGCGTATCTCAGCCCGAAGCTGTTGGATGCTCCCCAAGTTGTGTCCGACTCTTTGGTGACCCCGTGGAGGGTAACCACCGGGCTCTTCTGCCCATGGGATCTCCTAGGCAAGCATACTGGAGTGGGTTGCCATGTCCTTCTCGCGGGGATCTTCCTGCCCCGGGGATCAAACCCACGTCTTCTGAATTGGCAGGTGGATTCTTTACCGCTGAGCTAGAAGGGAAGTGTGCCAAAACAGAGCAGTCTCCTCCCGTGTCCTGGTGGTACCCAGTGCCTGCCCCTGGCTGCTGATCACAGGAACTGTTTATTAAACAGCCTTTTCCAACAAAGAAAAAAACCACAGAGGTGGGGAGGTAGTTATGTAACCTCCTCCCCTCCCCTCTCCCCTTCCCTTGTTTTCTTCTATTTCCTTTTGTCAGAACGACATCAGCTCGGGTTAGAAATGCATTTAGGGTGTCTCCTTTCTGCTAAAGCAACCTAGTGACTCCACCTTCGGAGATGCAAATTTTCCGTTTTGCCAAAGTTCATAAATGCTTCTTTGTGGACCATGAGCCATGTGGTTTGGCCCCCAGAGCTGTCTCAGGTCGCACAAACAAACCTGACGACCTTCACCTGGCTCAGACTAAGCAGTACCCATCTCCCCCCCCCCCCCCCCCCC